GCATATGTGTCTCCAGCAACCCCGTTTGGTTAAACTCCTTCCAGTGTCAATTTTCCCTATTGTGAAGTGACTTGTGAAGACAGCCACTGCACAATATTGATAAATGAAATACTTCCTCTGCTCCATGGAGATGTAGAGGAAGTTAATGTTTGTTTAGACTGTATTAGGGTAACACTGCTGCATTGCAGGACATTAAAAAATACAGTACTTGAAAGCAAAGTACAGTATGCCGCTTATATACCTTATAGTGCTTAAAGCACTCCATGGGCATTTTAAATTTAATTATGTATGCTACATGTAGTCCACCACCCAGCAAGATGGGTACTATTTTACTGACCAGTGACTGCACATGCTGGAATTGAACCAAAATGGAGCAATCCTAAAAGAAGGATTGCACCAAAAAAGTAGGAGCCCCTTACAGGGACCCAGAAAGCTGCAAGTAGGAACACTCGGGGATGGGTTGTTTCGCTCCAGCGATTATGTTGTGTGATTGCCAGAAGAAAAATGCAAACAAGCCATGCCCACAGCAGACCAAACAGTGGACTAAATGCCCATATGATCACACCCTAATACTGAGCGTTGAGAGGCATGAAAGCTTTGCTATAAATAAAGCTCGTCCGGGTTTCATTCTTGATTAGCTAATTCGGTTTGACATTTGATACTGTGTGGTAAAGACTAGCTGCTATATTTTAATGTAAGTTTTCGTCGATACATTCACTTCTTCAGGCATAAGAGTGGGACTATATAAGAGTAGTCCCAGTGTAGTCTCACTCTTACGATATGCTAGTTTGCCTGAAATGCTAGTTTGGATGTGTTGTTGTGCAGAGTTACTGCATCCAAAGCCAAGATGGCAGTGAGGACATCCATTTTCTGATAGTAGTAAAGAAGAAGAAGAAGTTGCGGAGAAGGTGGCAGCAGTGATTATGAGTTATGGTTCAAAATACTGGAAAGTCCCTGATTAATCAGGAAGCAATTTTAAAAAAAGTGGTTGAACAGATACGACACTACAGGGGCAAATTCAGATGCTTGACTTGGTTTTCATGCATTAAAGAATAAACCATGATTTTTGGAGCACGAACACCCAGTATCACAGAAATGATGGCCTATGAGCTGGCATTCATGTTTTATGTGCAACCAGTGCTCCGGGAAATTTATAAATGCAGGTCTTCATCATTACAGTTGTTATAGGCAGCTTCTCCAAATTAGGAGAGTACAAGAATGCAGGCAGCTAGATAGATCCAGAATGAGGATCAGATGTTTTTTAAGCTTAATTGTCTCTTATTTGTGCATTTAAGAACAAACATCCTTCAAATACTGTACATAGAGTTACAAAAGGGAAACTTGCAACCATGTAGTATTTGTAACAACAACAACCATTTTAGAGATTATGCTTGCCAAATTTAGCATTTTACCAGATTAGTGCTATGTTGCTTTCAAAAAATAATTAAAAAATTAAAAAGAGAACGAAGAGAACAGATAAAGAAGAGGGCAGTATTAATGTCTTGAGGCTATGTTCTAATTGGAAACGGAACCAATTGAACAAGCACTCTTAATGACCACACCACACTGACTCATTATGTTACTTCTAGAGAGAATATGATGCCTTCCTTGTTCCTCATATTTACAAAAGCTGTCCACAGCGGCCACTGAAATATCTTTCAATCCTATCAACAGGACAGCACTCTCTACTGCACCTAAGGACAGCCAAGTAGCTTAGGAGTAGAGATGGACATGAATTAAAACATGAATCACCAAATTTATTCAAAAAATTGCTAATTTGTTAATTTATATTCATATGAATCAGTGCCCCTAGCAAATATGAATCAATTAATTTTTAGTTATTTTTGATTTGTCAATTCATTTGACTATAAAACAGCTTCCCCAGGCACCCAGAGACACCAAAATCACAGAGAAGCTTCTACTGACTCTCCTCTACAATCCCTCCAAGTCTGGCGAAGACTGGATTCCAGACATCCTCATTATACACCCACAGATTGGGTCCCCCGCCAGGTAAGTGCTCTTTAGCAGCTGGCTTGGGGAAATTCAATCTTCACCAAACTTGAAGGGAGTGTAAAGGAGAGACGTGGGTGTATAACTTGGACATCCGTAACCCAAATATTGACAAAAAAGCAGGGCTTATAGATGAGAGTCACTGGAAGCTTCTCTGTGAATTTGGTGTCCCTAGATGTTTGGAGGGGCATTTTATAACGTTTTAAAATTCAAAAAGGAATTAATATTGATTTGTCGATTTGTCAGAAATTGTCACCATTTTTCTGATTTGTGCCCATCTTTACTTAGGAGGCACACAGGAAGTCTCTCTCTCTCTCTCTCTCTCTCTCTCTCTCTCTCTCTCTCTCTCTCTCTCACACCCACACACACACACACACACACACACACACACACACACACACACACACACACCCACACACACACACACACACACACACACACACACACACACACACACAAATTAAATCTTCACCAAACTTGAAGGGAGTGTAAAGGAGAGATGTGGGTGTATAACTTGGACGTCCTGTCACAAAGGATATTGCACTCCCAAGGACAAATCTGTCTATTTCTCTCTCTAAAAAATATATTACTGTATGGGAAGACAAATAAAGCAGCAGAAGTCCTCTCGGAGGGCCTGGGTCAGCTAACATGAGCACAGCTTCAACCCCATTTCTTATTTATGCTGGAAACGCTTCACTGAGACATATTCCAAGGGTTAACATGATAGAGCTGAGAAATGAGAGCAGAGGAATGAGGAGCTCTTTCCTGCTCCCTCTCTTTGGCTGACAGGGAGGGAGGCAAGGGGGTGGGTGGGAGCTGGAGTTGTAGCAGGACAATCAGGCGTTGATGCTTAGAGGCAATCTTGGGGTGAGTTAAACAGCTATCTGGGAGATGAAGTGCAAACTCATAGAAGAAAATACAGTACTTGGTTAGAGGAAAGATGGGTTGGGGGGAGGAACACCGTCCAGAACAGGGGTCCCCAGCAGCTGCTGTATTATGATAAATGTTCAGCAATATATATACCTGTATATTTAAAAGATAGTTAGGGTTTCTTTTTTTCTTCCCCTGCCCGTTCTTTTAATGTTTTGAGATTCCAAATCATGCAGTTGCAGAGGTTCGTATTTTTCTCCTAGAAAAGCAGTGCATTTTGTCTTTCATAGAAGGTATGAAATCAAACATTTCATTCGGCTAGATAATAGACACCCTCCTTGCCTGTCTTTTTTTTTTTTTTTTTTTTTTNAATGGACAGAAAAAGCTTAGAACTTTACATCCCACCATGAATTAGCCTCCTGCTCAGAAACAACTTCTTCCATAAACTGATTTAGGAAACACAGCTTTTAAACTAACTCGATGCCATTTTAAATGGTTTTCCCAAAGTGCTCTATGGGGGAAATCAGCATTACCATTATCCCAAAGACTGACAGGAGGACTTATCCCTTGTTAGCCTAACACTGCTAAAATTGAACAAGTCTGATTATGATTGAAATGTGCACTTTTTGAATGTGAACTAGAGAGAGTTAAGACCTCACCAAAATCAGGCAGTTACCTCTCCCTAACTGATACCAATAATTCCCTTTTTGCAATGTTTTTCTGTCATCATAAGGATATCATATTAAGTAAGTGTTAGCTGACTGCTCATCAATGTTTTAACTAGTCATTCTGCATAAAGTCATATACCTGTAAAACAATCTTTAAGAAGAAAATTAAATCTTTGTGTTTTAATAATGCACACATAGTATACAGGAAGCATTTCTCACTACATATAATGGGAAAGGGGGCACCTTTTAAAAAACAGTGTCTATCCGTAATCCATTTTTTTGTCATTTCTTGTTTTTTTTAATATTTCATGTTCTTTTAAAATTGCTGCCTGATTAATCAGAGACCTTCTAAGACTCTTTGGTAGATTTTTTAAAAAATGAACTGATCTAACCTGTGAATTGAATATATTTTGCAACTGTGAGTTTTATACACCTCCTCAGATTATCTGATGGGTGAAATGATTGAACCAGAAATAGAGTAAATTTCCCCTTCCTGATGCCAGAATGAGAGAGACAGGATAGACAGGTAGATATGAGAGCTTTGTGGAATTAGAGAGCAGAACTGATGAAAGTAAAAGTAGTGTCATGAGAGAGAAGATGTCAACAGAGGCAAGGGCAGAGGTGGACCTAGGGGCTTCAATCCATGTGCCATTGGGGCTACAAAGAATCAAAATGGAAGATCAAGGACCAGTTGGGCTCAAAATGATGGATGCTCAAGAGAAAATAAGGCAGGCATCTTGTGCCCTTGAGCCGAGGACATTGTTGAGTTGGGACCCATCTCCAACGGTGAAGGAAGAGCCAGATGTAGGAGGAACCCAGTGCTGGAAAATCCAAATTCAAGATACAGAGCAGCCGCTGCATTTTGGGTGGGCGAAGGCATGGCCGACAGAGTTCGAACCATGGGATGACGTGCCAGCTCTCCTAGCCTCCTTTGAACATGTGGCCTATGCCTGCCAGTGGCCCAAGGAAGAGTTGGTAGCCCGGCTTTTGCCAGCTCTGCGTGGAGATGCCCAAGAGGCCTATCTTGGTTTGGATGGGAGTGAGAGAAGGGACTATGACAAAGTGAAGGCCGCCATCTTGAAGAGGGAGCCCATGGCCACTGAGGAGCGGAGACGGCACTTCCGGCAGTTTGTCTATCAAGAGGCCAGGGGTCCACGGGATGCTTGCCAGCGGCTTCAGAAGCTTGGCTGCCGTTGGCTGAGGCCAGAGAGCAGAACCAAGGAACAGATCTTGGAGCTGCTGGTTCTGGAACAGTTTCTGACCATCTTGCCAGAAGAGATCAAAAGCCAAGTGTGGGAGCAATTGCCTGAAACCTGTGCCCAGGCAGTGGCCCTGGCTGAGAATTTTCTGGCAGGGCAGCAGGAGGCGGAGAGAGACATACTGCAGGTGAGATGATCCCTCAACTTCTTAATGATGCCTAGTGTCTTCTGTTCTAGAAATTGGAAACATTCCCTTTTTTGGATGAAATCCGTAAGAATCCCCCAGTCCATGGGATAATGGTTAGGCTTAAAAGGAGAGGCTGAAAATGGTCTAGTTGTGTCCTGACAAGGGATTTTTTTCCAAGCCCTATTAAAAGCAAGGTTTTTCTTACATTCCTATAAAGAGTGGGCGACAAACCTCCCTTCTTTATACAATTATTACCAGATGATAATCCCTTTGTGCAAAATGCGTTCTAAAAACACATGTGGAGATCTAGTAAGAATGCCTTCCGGTCTATTAAATTATAGTGTAGAAAGATAAGGAAGGAAGGAATTCTCTAAGTTCTCCATACTTTAGAATACTCTTCATTTGTAAGGGGGCAGTGAGCTGTCCAGGGGTTGTCCAGGGCTTGGGTTCCAACTTTCAGCAGCCCCACCCAGCATGGACAGGGCTGAAGAATGAGGAGTTGATCTGGATATTCACATTTGCCTTATCCCTGGTCTAACTGCTTCATGGGAGGAGGGAATGGGATAACTTTTCAGAGACTTACTGTCTTTAGAGGCAAAGAGGAGAAAGAACAAGATATGAATATGGCAAATACCTGTAGATCAGAGGTGGGCACATGGCCCTTGGCCTAACCTTAAAACCTGACCTCTGGTAGGATCACAACCCCGTTAGGTGCATAGCCCTAACTGAAACACCTCTCTCTCTCTCTCTCTCCACATTTAAAAGGATCATCCTTTGCCCTTTCAGGTGCCAAGGCCATTGAAGGATGATGTGAAGATGAATTTCCCAAAGGGAGAATTGGCTCCCTCAAACACTCAGCCGAAGGAGGTCAAGCAGGCTGGTGGTGGGGATGTCAGCTCCCGGGGTAAGTACGTGCTCTGCTGAGATACAATCTTATTAGAACGGTTTTGTACTACACATATCTTAGCTTTATGCCCCTGTCATTTATCCTGTTGAATGCTGGGATTTATAGTTAGTTGAGGTGTTTAGGATTCTTTACTACAGCGGAGTGCATTAGAGTACTCTGGCAGAGAATTTCAAGTGATCACCAAATCAATTTTAACGGCTCATCCAGGATTTCATAGGGTAGAGCCATGACCGTTGACATGGTATCAAAACTACTACACTAGTATAGGGCAGATGCTCCCACTGTCTTAGATTTTAAGCTCGCTGGGAGAGACCCATTTTCTTGCACTTTACCAAGAGAACTCTGAGCGAGGGGATCACTCTGTTTTTATATTCGTCTCAGGGTCAAGTAACTGGGAAGGGGGGGCTCGGAACCAGTTCGGCCCTTCTACAGAGTGCTGCCTGTCTGCCCCTGTCCTCTCCAAAAAAACCTGGCCATAAATCACACTGCTAATTTAGGCACTAGAGCATGGGGGGGGGACCCATTAAAACAAGCAGGGGATGCTTATTTCTATGCATTTCTCCTGGTAGGCCACCAAATTTAGCCAAATTACCCACAATGAAAATTGTTTCAAGCAATCAGATAATGCTTGCTTTTAAAGCCTCCCCCCACCTTTTCATTTTGTCATTTAAGTTTTAGCAGAACAGGAAAGAGTAAAAGAACCACAAAGGAGGGGCAAAACCTTGGGGGAAAGTATTTTTCTGGACTTACAACTTCCAGAATTCAGTGGTTATGCTGGCTACAGGATCCTGGGAGCTACAGTCCAAAAAAATATCTTGTTTTCTAAGCTCCCCTGAGGGGTTTGGTAAGAGTGATCCTGGGAAGAACAAATAATTATTTTGCTGCTTTTCGAAAGCTGGTGCAAAAATTTTAGGGCATTCATGGGTGTTCGCTTTAGTGAAAGAAAGGAATGATTAGATGTTTGTTATCTTTTCCCTTCTTTATGTCCTTGACAGGACAAAGTATGGCAACTTCACAGGACGATCTGCTGCCTCCCTTATCTTTGGGTGATTTGTTGGGGAGATCAGCAGGGAAAAGCTTATCTTTCTCAAGGACTTGAAAAAGTAACCAGAGCAAAGCTAGACATGAAGCTGTGTCCTTTTCTCATGCACCTCACATGTATCTTATATAGACCACTGGGGGAAAGCATCTGGAGGTCACTAACCAAAAGAAAGAAGGCTACATCAGTGTGTGGCAACCATATCCATGTTTATGTCATCTGTGACAATTGATTTCTGCAGGCAAATATTCCATAGTATGCCCCTAGAATAGCAATACCATATATTATATGGTGACCTGTGAGAGGGTGTGTGGCTCCTTGATAGAACAGCCACCTTTTAGGTGGAACATCCCAGGGCCCATGACTGGCTTCTCCAGGATAAGCTAGGAAAAAGTCTTGCCAATAAACCCTGGAGAGCCATTCCTGCCATCAGTTTTGGCCAAACCTTGGAAATAAATAATTGATTATAAATAAATAATTACCGAATTACCAGGTAACATGTGTATCTGTAAAAGGTTATGGTAATGGTTCCCCTTGACAATTAAGTCCAGTTGTGTCCGTATCTAGGGGCCAGTGCTCATCTCCGTTTGTAAGCCAAAGAGCCAGCAGTTGCCTGTAAACACATTCCATGGTCATATGGCTGGCATGGCTAGACATGGAACACCACTACGTTCCCACTGAGGTGGTACCCATTAATCTACTCGCATTTGTAGGCTTTCAAACTGCTAGGTTGGTGGGAGTTGGGACAACCTACAGGAGCTCACTCCATTGGGTGGCTTCAAATTGCCCACCTTTTTGATCGACAGCCCAGTGGCAGTTTAACCCACAACACCACCTGCATCCTTATACAGTGGTGCCCCGCTTGACGATGATAATGCGTGCCAGCAAAATCGCTGTTAAGCAAAATCGTTGTCAAGAAAAAAAAAGGAAAAAAAAAAGAAAACCACCCAAAACCACCCCATTGGAATGCATTGAAAACCGGGGCTAGGTGGGTTCAGAGTCTCACTCAGCTTTTTTCAAGGTACAGCTGGAATCAAGGTTCTCAATGCCAAGAATCCGTTTGGGAGTCCAGGTCCTCCCACGTTGGGACAAACTGCTGGATTGTGCATGTCTGGAGCTCAAGGTTTTGGGACCTCAGTGTGGAAGGGCAGGAAACTATTTTAGGTCATCCTTTTTTAAATTTCCCTTTCTCACCCTTATGTTGCTCTACTTCCCCCCCCCTTCTTTCTCCTTTTCCTTCGGCTCTCTTTTCCCACTCTCTATTTCTCCATTCTCCCAGGCTAAGTGCCACTGCATCAATGCAGGAGTGAAATTTTTGAAAAACTCCCCATTTCTACTTATCCCTGTTCCTTTCCATGCCCTTTAGAACTCGTAGTAAGTGTATGTGATCCTGGGTACTTTAGTGGTTCTTTAAAAAATTCAAAAGCATGGGCCCTTTCTTCAAGTCCAGGATTTTGTCACCAGGAAGGGAATATGACATTAAAAAGATAGAGACGTTTTCACATCATTTGCACCCGACTTACAATCTGCTACTAAAATAAGGGTCTACCAAGGTGGGGAAATCCCATAAATAATTGTTATTAGGCAGTTGCGCTCATTCTATATGCATCTTTGAAGGATACATCTCTTCTACGAGCTGCACTGAGAAAACTGGAAAATGTAACATATGTTACTCCTTGTGAAAAAAATCCCACCCCATTCACAAATATTATTTCGGGTTCCTCTTGGCCATCTTGGCCTCCTTTTTAGTGCAGATTCTTCTGACACAGAAGCTACATGGGGTTTATTGACAAATGAAGGGAGCCGAGGTGGAACCAGGAGGCAAGGTCCTTCTGTAGGATCAGGTAACCTGGGAGACTAGACTGTTAGATTGCGGGATGTTAAATCCTTTATTCGGGCAGCGCTACCTAAGGACCAAGTGACTGCAGGTCAAACTAGGCAATAGGTTTATCACATTCTTTTCAGAAGTGCTCTTCCTGTGGTAAAAGATACCTGTGCGTCAAAGCACACAATTTCCCTCACTTATGTAACATGCATTTAGCGTGCTTCCTTCTGTGATTGCTCATTCTCAGGTAAACACAGACTTGATTTGCAAGTTTGATGAGGGAAGCATGAAATTCTTTAAATCCCTTCCTTTTGTCTGTCTTACCTTTCCCACTATTCAGTTTCACTGGAAATACAACAAATATTAATGTTATGGCGTAGCTTGGTGGGTGAGAGAATTCTCCCTCTCTGCTTTCCCTAATATCATGTATGGTTTGTACACCTCTATCATGTGTTTATTAATTTTTCTCACAGCTAAAAAGACCCCTAATGTTGTAACCTTTTTTCATGGGGGAATTGGTCCAGACCCTTGCATATTTGGGGTTGTCTTCCCATAGTTTTTTTAATAAAATTCCACTACTGTGATGGTGGAAGTTTCTTGCAATAGGTACTTGGCTACATTTTTCTGGCCAGAGGTGACCCATTGACAGATGTCTAGGCACTGTACACAATGCCCCCAGGAGATTGAGGTCCAACCATGCAGCCCCATCCTGGAAGACAATTGGGGAACAATCTTGCTATATTTCCCCCCATCAAGCCTATTTAAGGTCCACGGAAGGCCTTATTTTGTCAAAACAATAAGTGATTTTTGTTCACTTCTGCTTTTGGGGAGAAAAGCTTTTATGATCCTAAAACAGGCTAGTAATTGGGCCCAAAAATGGTGATAATGCCCCCTGCACAGGAACTAGTGGGCGCAGAGTGACTGTTAGGTAACAGGATAAAACAGTTTTGGGGGTTCAGGGGGGAATCATCAAGATTTGGTGGTGGGGCCCCAGAGTTATCACATGGGCTGCCTCTTTGCCCACCTTGGTTTCAGAAACTTTTCTTTTGCATACTGGTATCAGGCAGCCATATTTATTGTATTTCTGATCATTAATGGCTGTGAAATAACATTTGAAATCTTCTTTCCTGGCAGCACTGAATAAGAACCCAGTCAGAACTGAAGAATGTTTTCAACAAAGAGGGTATGTGAAAAGTTTTGTGGGATCTGAGGGGCTCCAGGTGCACCCTGGGACTGACAACCAGGACAAAGGTTATTTGTGTGCCCAGTGTGGGAAAGGGTTCCGATGGCCATCGGCACTGGCTGTGCACCAGAGGACCCACACAGGTGAAAAACAGCACCGTTGCACTGAGTGTGGCAAGTGTTTTGGCCAGCGTGGACATCTGACCGTGCACCGGAGGATCCACTCTGGAGAGAAGCCATACGCCTGCCCTCAGTGCGGGAAACAGTTTGTGGACTCCTCCCACCTCACCAAGCACCAGAGGACCCACTTGGGCGACAGGCCCCTCCACTGTGCCAACTGTGGCCGAAGGTGTGGAAATAAACGGTCTTTGGTACAACACATGAGGATTCACAGCCGGGAGAAGCTCAAGGCCACAGATGTTCATTAGCCCCTCATGGGATGTTGAATGTGAGTCTATAGATCTAACTGAGAGAAATAAATCCCCAGAATCTGGTTCTTGCACTTTATTCCCAAACAGCAGAAATAAACCTCAGTAGATGTACAGGGGTAAGCTTAGAAAAGTTGCTCTTTGAGCTACAATTCCCAGAAACCTCTTTGGACTTCCACCTTTTGGTTCCCTAGTACTAAAATGGCTCTAAGGAGGTAGGAAAGTAGTAGTCATGCTTTTAATTTTGCCACTTCTTATTTCCTAGGGTAGGGTGGGTAGATACTCCTACCTCTCTCACACACACGTAGACATCATTGAGTCACACCTGTGCCACTTGTGCAAGCTAGGCGTGATGGAACACTCTGTGGGACCCAAACCTAGCCCAGGACTGAGAACCATGTGGCCTGCAGACAGAAAATCAACTGTGTACTGGCCAGTTGATGTAGCTCTTTGCTTTTCTGCTTCATCAAAGTTATATAGCTACTCAAAAAATAAATCAGGGAATGCTACAACTGCTGGTCTGTCATTCAAAATATGCTTTCCTTCTATCTATTGTGTTATTGCCTCAACACTGACAACACAGCACAAGGTAGGCAGCACTAACCAGTGCTTGAACCAGGTAATATTCCTCTTTTGCCACTTAATAAAGTCTTACCTCCATACATATATAAGAAACTTGTAAGGTTACGGTCAAAGAATCAATATTATTGTTCATTAATTTATGGTAGTACTGTAAAGAGCCTTCTTCATTGGGGGAAGGACGTAATCAATGGTAACTGGTTTGTAATATATTAGTTAGTTGGTTTGCTGATTTTATCTGCCTCTAAATCCATGAGTGCCCGGAAAAAAAATTCAAAATTTAGCCAGTTATCACATACTATTGTATCCAGATGTGGCTAATGATATGTGGGATTAGCCATTGTGATTCCTTCATTTGCCCAGCAAAAAAGGCATGAAGGGTATTTACAGGGTTTTGTCCATATTTCCTAACTATATGAGCCATTTTGCGGGTTTATGGGGAATTGTCTAAACTTGTCAAGTAATTAATATTCCTTATAACCTATAGGACCCTGCAGTATACCTATAAATACCCAATTGGTATTTCTTAAGATGTTTTTTGGGGAAAAACCACAAGCAGTCTTATTTCTCTGGCATGGATGAAATGAATCTTTCCTGATTACACCCAATACACGGTTTTCAGTAGGGGAGAGACATGTGCCTCTCGGCATGCTCCAGTTGAAGGCAGGACTCCCTTGTTTCTTGCTCCCAGCATCTGGTTGTGAGACGTAAACTACTTCTATACAGATGTGGTCATTCTGGTGTCTGTGTGTAGTTTACAGCAGGCGTAAATAGATGTGGAGAATCTATCAGCTACACCCACCCCATTTTCTACTGTCCCCTGGATCTCTGTGGGCCACATGAGCCCCATTTTGGGGGAAAAGTCACTATCGGGCACTCAAAAGCTGAGTGTGTTGTGCTCCCTGGAGTCATCTGACTTTGCAAGTCTCCAATTTATTTATTTATTTTGTAGTGGGAGGCTTGGTAGCCCTAGAGGCACACATGGAGCTTTGATGGGCAGCTGTATGTGGCTTCAGGCCCATAATTCCCACCTTTGATAGATAGGGAATCATTCAAAACTGGTATCCCATGCTTGGAGTCTGAATTTGTGCAATCCATTTTATCACCTCAACACCTTATCACTGCTTTATCTCTTCAGTCGCCTATGTGTTTGGATATGCAGTCTAACTTAATGGCCAGTTTCACATATTGTAGCAGCAATTTCTACAAGCGAATCTTACCTTGTGCAGGAAAAGGGTACTTCCTACCTATTTGTTCTATCTATGCCATATGTTGGTTAGTTTTAACCACTGGGCTGCCGAGTTCTAATACTGCAACAAGCTATTAGTTGTCTGGAAAAGTATTGAATCTGCTGCTTCAGTTGGGAAATGTTAGCTAATCAAGGGAGTTGTAACAGTGTCGCTGGCAGCTGTAAATGCAAGAACTGCTCTGATTACAATGGGATTTTAAATGTAAAAAGGGACAGTCTTTGATAAATTCATAGTGTGCACTGAAGCTTTCAGGGTTGAGGACTCATAAAACAAAACTAGGGTCCTATTGGGGAGAAAATGATTCAATAGGGATAGTTGCAAGAGAAAATTTACATAATTTGTAGCTGCAAATGCTGGGTCATAAGGCAAACTTTGGATAGTGGCCTAATGGGTAATATATACAGTAACTGGTTTGTGTGTTGATGAGTACCTGGAAATTTCATCCTATGACATGGACATCCTTTCCCCTGAAATAAGATGGAGAGGTTGACAGAGATTACTCAGCAACAAAAATGATGTACTCTGGACATGCTCAGGTACTAGGTTAGCTGCCTGGGTCCAGGCAGAAGCAGCTCTGCTAACATTAAAATGAATTTGGGGACCAAGACCTTGTATATATTAAGCTGAGGTGTTGCAACTGCACATATAGGTTGGCTATGTTCATGCTTGGTTTAATATTTTATAGCTTTAGGATAATGCCTCTATTAAGAAATGGCTTCTGTAATATTGTGCACAATTTACTGTCAGTAAATTGAACAGCTGAAATCTCATCTCTCCACATTCCTTGAAGCTTTATCAGGATCTGGGAAACTTCTAGAGTTAGATAGCAAAAATACCATCTTCTCTTAGAGGAGGGTGGTGGCTATCCTTCAGCAGGTTACTCTTAAGACTACTAGATCAACAAAGGACAAAGTCATGCAGCCTTGTGCCCCCAAACGTTCCTAGTGGAAGGGCTAATAATAATATAATAATTTTAGAACTGCAGAGCTGGAAGGGAGACTATGGGACATTGAGTCTAGTCCTTGTTAAGGAGGCACTCTGGGGAATCAAATTCCCAACCTAGCAGCCAGAGACCTAACCCACTGAGCTATCCTGCAGCTCATTGGGCCTGCATTTGCTTTGTCTTAGCAAAATCCCATGTTCGATTCCTGGCTTCTGCTCAGAAGCAAAGGAATTCCAGTTCTGGAAGTTGTAATATAAAAACATGTCTTTACCACTCTGTCTGAAACTCTGGAGAGCTGTTTGCAGTCAGAGTAAACAATACTGAGTCAGATGGACCAATGGCATGACTCTGCATAAATTACTTATACAGATGAGATTAAATGACTGCTGGATAGCTCAGTGGTTTAGGTATCTGGCTGGGGAGCATACGAGGGAATTGAACTCCCAACCTCCACAGCCAGAGACCTAAACCACTGAACCATCTAGCAGTTCATGTATCTCTAGTGTGGACTGTCTGCACTTCCAGCTGAAAAAAAAAAGATGTAATTTTGATCGAAATATGTATGCCTCACCATTTTCAATAATAGTCGCTTCTTATCCCTAAATTCACCCTTCTGCTCCTGAGGGAAGTAACTTTTGAGGAAGCCTCAGCCCTCTCACCCCCAGTATGCTGGATAGTTCAGTGTTTTAAGTATCTGGTTGCGCAGCCAGAGGTTGGGAACTCAATTCCCCCACTGTGCCTCTTTGACGGGGCCTGGACTCCATGATCTGTAGAGTCCCTTTTAGCTCTGCAGTTCTAAGATTATTATATTATTTATGTACTGATCTCATAATCAGGCTGATCTAGTAATCTGATATGCTTCAGGGCACAGATCAGCAGTAACAACGGTGTATTCTGGTGTCTGGTGAAAGCCCCCAAAACTGGCCTCCTCATTTGTGGCCAAGGACTTTCAGCCTGTTATCTTGAGGCTATCAAAATCCCAGGACAACAACAGGATACTGAAAGATTGAGACACGCCACAGACATTCCCAAACACTGAAATGGACTGGACACGCTGCTCTTCAAGGCTTCATTCAAATATAACCCATGTTACTGAAGCCAAGGAGACATACTGTAGATGTTAACTTTCTCCTCTGTGAATAGAGAAAATTCCAAACCAAGGTTTTCTACTGTTGTGCCATCAAGTTACAGAACAGCAGAGTACCTAAAAGTTGTAATTCCTGAGGATTTCAGCCTCAGCTCAAATTTTTAAAATAAAACTTTCCATTTTGTTGTTTCTTTAATTTTAGGGGACATTTACACAGGAGGTTTATAGGATCATGTTGTTGTTTCGAACAAGTATTGACCATAATTGCTATTTTCACAGTCATACTTATAGGAGCAAGTGGGAGGGTAACGCCCTCAAGAATATCCTCCTAGCTAACAATGTGGAAAAGCTAATGACAAATCCAATGTTCTTTTCCTTAAAGCTCCCTCTGCTTCCAGCTCGCGTAAATCTTTATCTATTTATATTGGCTGCTGCGTTTTTGAAAGAGATGCCGACAAGCATATTAACGAGTTTGAAAACCAGAGACGACCAAAAAAAATGTGAGATGTTTAATTTTCTTCAAAATTAATCCATACAAACACATGAAAATAAAACCTAATCTTTTTTTTTAAGGAACTTTTTTTTAAAAAGGAACTGCCCTAGTGGGACAGACTGAGATTCAAATTCTAGTAAGAATGCTACAGATGAAGAATAAGAGTCACCTTGGCCTTAATCAAGGAGACAGGGCCACATGTGGTGTGCTGGTTGACATTGATCTGCCTTTTCTTTGGCGTTAGTGTTTTGCGGAAACCAGCAAATCTTTCCTCTGCTGGTTGCAGAGACTTTGTTAGTAGCTGTCAGTCTCCAGATGGCTAAGACTGAAGAAAACGCACAGAGGAAACTTTGAAGGGAATCATTTAGATAACCTAGAGAGGACTAAGGGCAGACTTCCAAACAGGGACACTGGACCTTGTAAGGAGCAGAACCAATGCTGGAATTAAAGAGAGGGGTTGCTTGCATCCAACTCTCTTATTTTCTGTGATGGCCATTGCAAATCTGTCTTTAGAAGGGGAGGAGGCATATTTTACCTACATAAGGGGCAGTTAGTGTATAAGGCCCATATATTTCAATAAGCTCCTTCCCATCTTGTCTCCCCCATAACTGGAGTGACAAGCCAACAACGAAAGTCTGTATTTACTTTTCTCATTAGTACTGGTAGCTACAGCAGGCCAAATTAATGTTTAGGTCAGGGATGGAGAACCTATGGTCCCATAGATGCTATTGAACAGTCTCCCACAATCATTCAGCATGGTCTATGCTGGGTCTGGCTCATGGGAGTTGTAGTGCAAAACATCTAAAGGTGCATAAGTTGCCCATCCTGGCTTGTACCAATGAAACACTGCCTGCTTCCTTTGCAAACAGGTCAATCAAGGCGAGCCCACAAGCCAGTGGTAAAACATTCAAGCAAGCTTTATAGCAAGGATGTTTCTTTAACCCTCCATGTGTTTTCGACAACTCCCATTATCCCTTGCCACTGGCCATTCTCATTAGGGCTTCCTGGAGTTGTAGGCAAAAATATTTGGAAGGCCAAAGGGTCCTTACCCAGAATGCAGTTTAACGGTCAGAAAAACTGGCCAGATGAACAGTTTCACAGGCTGTAATAAAATTTTTCTTTTTTCCCTTAGTGTCATATAGGTTGCTTGCAAAGGCTCTGTGCACACTTAGATTTTCAAAGGGTAACCAATCTGTAACTCTGCATAAAGCTAATATATAAATTCTGTTTCAAGAGAAACTTGATTCTGGATTCTGTATGGATTTCAAAATCAAATGCATTTGCATATATTTGTGTGAAGAAGGGGTTGCATACGTTATTCAGCTGTGCTCATATTCAGAAGGGGCCAAAGCCTGTGCACAGAAGGGCGGCTCCACCTCCTGACCCCAAGGACATCAGTTAGGTACCACCATCCTATCTACCAACAACGTTGGGTGCTTCACACCATTCTGGGCTAGCTATAAAATGCTGGTTTTGGACAATCTCTCTGGAGGCTGAATTGTGGGCTCTAAACAAAATTTTCTTGCTTGCACAAAAATCACACAGAGAACTAACAGCCACTTCTAGGTTTATGAATAGTAAAATGTACCGCTTCAGCAGTAGTTCTCAGCCTCAGATGTTTTTGGACTTCAACTCCCAGAAACCTCAGCAAGAAGGACCGGTAGCCAGAGATGCTGGGAACTGATGCCCGAAATATCTGAAGTGTGAACAGCTGTGAACAACTGCCCTACAGAATCCAGCATTATAGCACTGAGAAACAGAGTCACTCTGGGACTCTAGAAAGGTTTCAATTGGATGGTAAGAGCATCGCACAACGAAAACTACCAAATGCTGGTTTCTCTGAACCGTGGTGCCTTACCTGTCTCTGCCTACATCAGCCACAATTTTGAACTTGCACAGCCAAGGGATCTGTAGCTGAACCAATCCGGTTGGACAAGACTGGCTTAGTAGTGTTAACAAGAAGGGCAATATTGGGTATGGAGAAGACAGAGCCAACCGCTCTTTGTAAGTTGCACTGACAAGTTGGGTGTTTATTGGGAGTCTGGGGTGGAAAGAACACAAGTCAGTAACAATTCAAAGGCATCCGTTTGTTCTGACTCTGACACTACAGGGGTTCTAAACCAGAGGTGGGGAAATCTTTGGTCTTTCCAGATGTTTTGAAAACAATACTCCCACAATCCCTTACTCATGGTCATACTAGCTGGGCTTTCTAGGAGCTGATGCTCAAAACACCTGTGCTTTATGCCTAGCACTTGCCTGACATCTCTGATATTAGCTTGACCTTGGCTGACTGAGTCAACCCAATGGACTTTATAACATTTGCCTGCAGAAGAAACATGAATGGACACTGCAACTTTGCAGTGGTCAGGCAGTGTTAAGAAATGAAATACTTTTATGCAAAGACCTTCACCCTCTGACACTGTTAGCCACAGATTCCAGGTCAGAACTAAAATTTCACCAGGGTAGTCTTAAAAAAAGGCTGATGGACCCAAACCACCGACTCATGCCCAGTGGCAAAGGAGTCTATTGCCCCCTTCTCTTCCAGTGCAAACAGCAAGATTTCACAGTGCACTCCCATTATCCTCAATAACGATTCAGAAACATCAGCCAGTGTCCTGCTTCATGCACAAAAGCTAACAGCTGAGGTGCACAAGGAAAGACAATTTCTGCTGTATTTACACACAGGGGGATCCTTTTGCTAGTGTCTTGTCTCGCACACAATAGGAAGGATAAAGTGTGCTGAAACAAACAAACAAATAAAGAGGAGAGGTCCCTGGGATGAATGCTAATGCAAGGGATCAGATAAAAATATTTGGGGGTTAGTTCAATTCATTTAGAGATTAGCAGACATGGATTCTGAGAGTTCCTCTTGTGTGGATGGCAATCAGCCCCAAACAGCCAGATCCCCAATATCTGTGTCACTCTTTTGCAACCCTTCTACCCCGCTTTGCATATTCCTGTTATCCGTACAATCTTAGCATAACTCTCTGCCATTTATGAAAGTTGTAATCTCTGAAAACAAACAAATAAAAAAGCAGCTTCTCCAAAAGGCATCTCCCTCATATAGAAGATTCACACACACCTCTTCCCCATCAGTTCACGACTGGTCCTTTTCTCTAAAAATATGTTGCTTCTGTTTCACTAAAAAGACATGTGTCTTGGCCTCGCTGGGTAGATAAGCCATGTTATGTAACAATAAGCCTGTCTAGTTGACTAGAAGATCTATTTCCTTTTCTATTACAAAAAGAGAGAAGAGAGAAAATGAAAGAGACAGACAGACAGAAAAAAGAGAAAGACAGACGTCCAACTGATGCCGTCACATTTAAGTTCAGAGAAGTTCACGAAGTCAAGTTAAGGTTAACTTGTTATCATTCAGTTCTGGTTGTGCTGTGGATCTCCGCAAAACGAGACCTCCAACTGGCCACGTTGTCCAATCCGCTATGTAAATGGGGCACATTCTAACTAAGACACCCTGAACAGATAATTTATCTGCAGATGTTAAGCTGAAAAGGACACCAGTCATCTGGCCCAATATAAGCACCAAGTGTAGTGGTGAGCACAGGTCCATGCATCGGCCCTTGTCAAATTCTAGGAGCTGGGAAACGTAGGTCCCCTCTCACTGGGAAGGAACTCAGCTAAGTGGTGTGGGTTCTCCGATGTCGAACCAAGTGTGAGTTCTGCCCAAATTTCTTCCCGCACTCAGGGCACTTATACGGCCTCTCCCCCGTGTGGGTGATCTGGTGTCGGATGAGATCAGAACTCCACCGGAATTTCTTCCCGCACTGGCTGCACCCGTATGGACGATCTCTCGCATGGGATACCCGGTGCCTGGTCAGCTCTGAACTCTGGTAAAAACTCCGGCTGCACTGGGCGCACCGGAACGGTCTCTCCGAGGCGTGGGTCCTCTGATGCCGGGTCAGCTGGGAGGTGTGACCAAACCTCTTGCCGCACTGGGGGCACTGGTGAGGCTTCTCCCCAGTGTGGATCCTCTGGTGAGTGAGGAGGTGCGAATTACGGCTAAAGGTTTTCCCACATTCGGAGCACCGGTGGAGGGGCTTTCCCGGGGGGTGAGGAGCCACAACGGGGTTGGCCTGCGTGGCTGGATTCCCTCCCGTCTCGCCACATCTATCCTCGTGTTGCTGACTCACTCGCTGGCCACAATTTTCAGCTGCTGTATTTGCCTGCAAATTCCCAGATGGGACTCCTGTTTCCAAAGCACCTCCTGGCAGAGGGTTCGCTTCACGGTTCCCATTGGCCATCAAGGCACCTGATGAGGTAGGAAAAATAATAACACATTATGCTGCTTGTCAGTCCAATCTCTGCTACGGATGCATCCAGACTCACAATGCACAGCTGTTGACATGAAGGCAAACACCTACTTTCACTCTACTTAGGATGATTCATTTTCTTGGGTCTCTGCACTTGATATAAATCCTAAATACCTCCACAAACCACCAATCCCAGGGTTTCATAGGTGGAGGAGGCTCTTGGAACTGTCCACTGTAGATACAATCTAAAATTTAAGGTCAAACTACAACAATTTCTCACCCATTCTTACCTAGAAGCTCCTGCCTCCAATCTTTCCAGATATTTCAGAGTCTGTTCCTCTTTCTTTTTGCTAATCTAATCAGCCTTTGAACTGCAATCACAGTCAATGCAAAGAACTGCTACTCTCTCGTTATGTGAAACAAGTCAGTTGATTCCTAGAAACCTTGTGATGAAGATCCACCACTTTCTATATGTGTTCCATATGACTGGCCTAGCACTGAAAAAGCTCTTTATCCATTTGCCAGCCATGTATATTTGCCTGGTAGTATTATAATCTCAAATTTAGCAGAAGTGTCTGGGTCACATTGGTTGGCGCAAGCTTAAAACAGAAGTGGTACTGCAGAGAAATGGTTTACAAAATGTGCCCAAGAAAATTATCCCTATTTTTCCCCATAATTCCCTAGAGACACAAAAAGATCCCTCAGCCTCTCACTCTTCTGTAACCTCAACATTGGAGAGGTTGTTTCTTTAAAAGTCATTTTTCTAACCTTGTGTGTCAAAGGCTCAGTCTCATTAAGTGAAAGGGGCCACTTGTCCACTTCTTACCTGGTTCTTGAAAGCTTCGGGGCTCCTGTTTGGGGACGCAGGGCATCTTCAGAGCAGGGCCTAGGAGAGGCTGGTTTAGTGACACTTCCGCTGACGAGACACATTCGGGATGGGGCAGCAGAGGAGCAGAAGGCTCCCACGGTGCTCCAGGCAAATTCATTTCTTGTGGGCTGACCTGCTCAACTTTGACTCGCACCGTAACCTAGTAACGAGACACACAAACCCCAATTTTTCAAAAAGTCACTGTGAGGACATCTGCCCACAAAAATTCCCCATCTGGCCCACAGAAGAAAAACCCCACCCTCTCTTTTAGCCCTGCCTGGGAGCCACCAAAATGGAGTCCCTGCTATTTCCAATCCATGATCAGAGAAAGCAGAGATTCCTTTACTAGCTTTGTTTCTCCTCCTCAAATGAAAAGATGGAAGAGGACAATATTTCTCACTATCTGCCAGTTTTAAAATGATATATTTTTTTAAAAACTACTACTTCCAGATTTCTACAGCTGGCATCTTGTAATGATGGTGTACTGCTCCGAAAATGGAGATCCTATTGTAGTTATAATGGCCATTGAAAGAAATAGTCTTCATGGATTTACCTAAAACCTTTTTAAAAAGCTGATTAGATCAGTCCCCAGTGAGACACCGTGTTGCAGTAAACTCCAAAAACAAATTAAGCATTTCATAAGGAATTATTTCTTCATGTGACTCTGCTTCAATGGTTGATCCCCCCGTTTTTTTTCCTGGCCTTGTATAATTATATAAACCTGTATCACCAGGATAAGGGCCTTGGGCAGCCCTTCAGGTGTTGTTTGAGTGTAAATCCCACTGCACCTCATCACTGACTCTCTAGAGTTGATGAAAATTGGAGACTAACAACATCTGGAGTTGCCACGTCCCCAAACTTTCCTCGGTCATGTCCTTTGCCCATCCTTTACCTCACAATCTTCCACATGTGACTATGAAGACATTTCCTTCGAGTTCAGCGAGTCTGACACTGAGCTAAGTGGGTACAGTTTGCATCCATGGTCCTCTTTTTCCCTTCTAAACTAAGGAACCACAAAAAACTGTAAGGTCTGATTATACAAAAGTTGTCCCAACCATTTGGTCATTGGGGTTGCACTTTTCTGCATCCCTTCCAGGTTTCCAAAGTCCTTTTGAGATGACTGGAACTGCCCATGGTAGTTCTGCCAACAACTGGAAGCCATGTGGCACATGTAAGTCACTTTACCCCAAACTCTGGCCTGTCTACACATTAGGCCTAGGTTTGGGTGGTATTACTATGAGTTAAGGCATTCTTGAGGGGTGGCAATAGCTCAGTGGAAAAACAAAATGCTTAGCCTGCTGGAGATACAGGCTTCAGTCTGCTGTGGCTTCGTAGATGTTGTCAATTTTATGAAAGATAGGATAACAAACACACTTCCCCTTCCATTTCTATTTTCACAGTTTCGAGGCTTTTCAATTTGAATGGACTCCCAGTATTCACCAACTATCCTATGCTACCTGGGGAATTATGGGGGTTCTAGACCCTAAACCCAAATCTGCACACCTCTAATTTCTAAACTAATGAATAGATTTACATGCACATTATCCTCCCCTTTGCCATTCTCTTTTCAGCTTTCGACTTTTAAACTATAATATTCACAGAAGCAGGGATAACAGACTAACTAAAATCCTGTTGTTTACTGTAGGACGGTACAACGAGAGTCAGTCAGCTCCTTTGTTCTACTCCAGTTGTGACTTTCTATGCTAAGCAGCATGATTTCAGCTTATTTTTATGTTTGTCCAGAGTTTGGAAAAAATGAGTTACAACTAAGGTCATCACCAATAACTCTTTTAAAAAAAATTTCTTTGCTAACAATATGTGTGTGATGTGACCACAATCCTATTGGGTAGTTAACACTCGCATAATGGCATAAGCTGCAGCAACACATTGCAGCAAATTAAAAGTCAACACTTATATCCCTCAGCATGTGCCAGTTATAGGAGCTGGTGCAGGAGAAAGAATATGATTGGCAACTCCTTAACTAGCTACAATCTGACATTGCAGTGCATGCTATTGTACCTTATGCCACTGCAACTAACCAATAGGATTCTGGCCTGCATATAACAACTAACACTTTGTAGTTACAATCTATATTATTTTTTAAAAGTATTTCAAGACGTTTTGAACAGAATTGTTTGAACTGTATCACTGTGTTCTCAATCCTTGGGTTTTCCCTTGCAATAATAGTGCAATGACAATGAAAAATGCAATAGATTATATGACAAGTCACTACGTAACTTGATAAATGGCAGATAACTTTAAGAGCAACATAATGGGGGTTGTTGTAATGAATTACATAATGAATTACTCTTTCTTTTTAAGAGTAATTCATTATGCAATTCATAAGAGCAAGTTACTTCACATTTTTAACTCGCTCTGTATTTGTGAAGCACCAAATGAACATTTTCTCATTCCAACAGAAATGTTGTGATAAAGACTCAAACACCTGGGATTGTTTGCTGATTGACCGCAGCTATGGAGCCATTACTATGATATGTCCCCCTGTCTCCATGAATCCCCAGAATGAAAAAAAAACAACCTTCTCACCTGTTGCTCCCACATGCCTGACTCACGTCGTCCCATGTGGTAACCTTCCACCAAGGCCACCGCTTGGGCACAAGTTTCGGGGCTTCGTTCCCACACCCAGCTCTGGATGTCCTGAGGCAAGATGGTCAGGAACTGTTCCAGAATCAACAGCTCCAAGATCTGCTCCTTTGTGCGGCTCTCCGGCTTCAGCCAGCGTCGGCACAGCTCCCGGAGCCGCCGGCAAGCCTCCCGGGGGCCTTCCGAGTCCTGGTAGCGGAACTGCCGAAAACGCTGGCGCTGCATCTCTATACTGGCACCGGTCTCCCCTCGCAGGCCGGAGGATTTGGACTTCCTGTGCTCGTTCCTGCTGCCCCTGGCCTCCAGGCCGTTATGGGGTGGCTGGGCTTTCCCACTGAGGGCTGGCATGAGACGAGTCATCCACTCTCCTCTCGGCCACTGGCAGGTTTCTGCTGCTCTCTCAAAGGAAGACAAATAGGCCTCAATATCATCCACAGGTGCGAGCTCAGGGAGTTGGAGGTTCCCCCAGCCAGGAGCTGGAGGTGGGACTGGCACAGGGGCTGGCATGACTTCGGAAGGTGTCCGCAAGCTTTGTACCATCTCCTGGCACTGAACCTCCCACAACTGTGGAATCGGGTCACTCCTCACCTGGGGAGGGGTGGCCCACCTCAGCAGGTCGCTAATGGTACCAGCCTGGACCACAAGTGGGGCTTTCCCTGCAGCGTCCCATTCCCATCCTGCTTCAGGGCACGGTGGTCCAGGGTCCTCCATTTTCACCCTGGGTGGCATTGTGTCTTCTAAAGGGTACAAGAAATGGAGGCCCAATGCTGGTGGAGGCACTTCCTGAGTGGCAGCCATTTCTTCCTCCCTCTCAAGGAAGGAAATTCTTGCTCCCCAACTGTCTTGTTAGTCAAATGTGAAAGGACCCAGTCGGTGGAGACTCGGCCCAATTAAAAGAAGTCTTCCCTGCAATGTGCAGCCTCAGTCCGTCAGATGGGGGCAAAACAGCCCAAATGGAGAAGGTGGACGGCCCACAGATGTAATTTACTGCCACCAGAACGACTGCTGACACAGCAGATTTTCCCCTGATACAGAAAAGGGATAATAAAAAAAAGGCTGCTGAAAATTATGCTTCCATGAAATGGATCCACACCAAAGGATCACCTCTGGTTCATAAACCCACGCTCCTGCTGCATGTGTAATTGGTTGATGATAGTTCCTCCATTACTTACTACCTTTCCCAGATGGAAAGAAGCTGCCTTTCCCAGATGGAAAGTCCAAACAGAACACCCACCCACAGGGCTAACTGCAATGACTTGGTTGAGGATGATGGAGGCTGTAGTCCAACAGGTTGGGAGGACACAAATTGGAGAACCTCAGTATATCTACTGACAGAAAGGAGGACACAACCCTGCTGAGTCAGGTGAGAGCACCATTGGTTTGCAAGAGGGTGCTGCTTCCCCACAATAGACAACCTGCTCTTTTTTGGGTTGTCTATCCAAATTCACAATCGAAGCTACGACGACAGTTCCTCTCTCCTGAGGTTGCTCAAGAGCATATCATAGTGCTGACCCTGAACATGGAAGCCCTACAAAAAACTCAGGTTGAATCAGCATGAAATGCCTACCTTTTGTCCCACATTTTCTGCTTTCCTCCCTGACAGCTACTGTTCAGTGACCACGGAGCATACACAGATTTCACTGGATTCCCCCCCCCCACTCCCAGCAATGCTTTTTTTGTACTCCCACAAAAATCAGTAGGTATAATGCCATTTTCCCTGCATGCACAGTGGCCAGAGCCTCAATCATGAAAGTCCTCTAAACCACATCCCTTATGTTTTTGCGGACATAAGAAGTATGTAAATACCATGTAGTCCCACTCTTGAGTGAGTGGGATTTGTCCACGAAAGCTCACCTTAAAATACAGCAGCGTAAGTGCCATGTAGTCCCACTCTGAGCAAGTGGGATTTCTCCACAAAAGCTCACCTTAAAATACAGCAGTTAATCTTTAAGGGGGCCACAACATTTTTGTTTTCTTTGTTTTTGAATTTTCTTTATGTTTTTGCCTGACAGTCTACTTTTGTATCTGACCACATCTCACATGAGTGAATACTGTGGATTAAGCCAGGATGGGACATTTTGTGACTGAAAGTCATGCTGTGTTGTGGAAATCACACAGAATTAGATCTACAACCTGCAGCGCACTCAACAACATCACTAAATGTTCAGCCACTGGTCAAGGACAACTGTTCTTGTTTTTAATACAAGTGTGACTAGAAAACAGCTGGGACAAAAAGTTATTGGTTTTTTTTTTGTTTTTGTTGCTTTTGGGACACTTTTATGTTGTTGTCCTAGCCTGGTATATAATATATTGGGATTTTTTTTAAAAAAAGCTTTTTTTTAAAGGAACTCTGATGCTGCAGAAATGATGTGCTCTGGTCATCAAGAGGCTGATCCATGTGTGTGTGCGCGCGCACACACATGCAGATGACCATCTCCACCATTCACCATTTAGGGGGGAAAAAGAGAAGAAAATGAGTGTCTAAGGTTGAGAAGACATGTACATATGAAATGGAACCACACATACATTCAGATGACCATCTCCACCATTCACCATTTGGGGGGAAAAGAGAAGAAAATGAGTGTCTAAGCTTGAGAAGACATGTACATATGAAATGGAACCTCCAAAATCCCACCAGCATCTTTCAGTATGCTAGATTTTCAGTGACGTTAAAAAATACCTCATAACTTTCTCAATGTAAACCTTTAAAAAAAAAACCAGGGTTAAAACTCCCTGGTAGAGGAGGTAACCATGTAAGTCTGTGCTAACATATCAGGCAAAAAGAAACAAAAACTGAAAAATAAAGGAGACAAAAACGTTGTGGCACCTTAATGACTAACTGCTATGTACAAAACTGAAAAATAAAAGAGACAAAAACATTGTGGCACCTTAATGACTAACTGCTATGTTTTAATGTGAGCTTTTATCAGACAAGAGAGTGGGAGCACCATGTAGTTAAGATGCCACAACCTTTTTGTCTTCTTTATTTTTCAATTTTTGCTTGTTTTTGCCTGACAGTTTATTTTTGTATCTGCGCACATCTTACTTGAGTAAATACTGGGGATTAAGGACTCATTGTGTGAAGAACAGCTTTGTTTTGTTTAATCAATTTCTCTGAATTGCCTTTGGTTCTAGTTTTATGAAGGCAAAGGGGGAAAAATTCTACAGAAACCCTGTCCTTTGCGGAGAATTCTGGAGCTGTCATCTTGGAAAAGGAACCTACCCACGCTCTGAGGTTAACAGTAATGTGCTCAAGATGGAAATGGAATACTCTAACAGAGGAAAATGCTACTCTTTTAGAAAGTTCTGAAATTCTCACAGATCCCACATTTCTCTGCAATAACTTTATCTTAATTATTATAAACTTCAATGCTGTATCTACCTGCCTGGGAATAAGACCCAGTGAAGTCAACAGATCTTACTTCTGATGCTTCAAAGAAAACGTATGTAAGAAAATGTGGGTTACTTTGCCAGATCAAACCAAAGCTCCCTCTCAGACCTGCACTCTTATTTCCAGGGTTGGCCAGATGGAAGGACTGTCGCTCAGTGACACGGGATATGCTTTGCATAAAGGAGACCCTTTGTTCCCCCTTCAGCATCTCTGATCAAAAGGTCAACTAGCAGGTGATGGCAACAAGACCTGAAAACTCATAGCTAGTTAGAGGAAGATACTGCTGGGCTAGACAAACACCCTGGCCTGCTAAGAACTGCTCACTGTAGTTCATTTTTTAAAAGGTTGGCACGGCAGCTCATGCTAGAGCACATTTTCTTTGCCGAAGGTCCCAGGCTCAATCCAGTTCATTTTTTTTTTTTTTGCAATCCCAAAAAGTAACTTCTCCAAGCTCGGTGTTGGCATCTACAGCTGACAAGCGGAAAGAAAGGTTAATAGTTTTCATGTGTCATTCCTTCTCAGCATCTGATATACCTGCCACATTACAGTATCTGGGTTAATTAATTTACATTACATAGAAGACAGCACTTCCTGTGGTTAATCCTGAATTGAATCTTGTCAGTTGTTTTCATGGGATCATCCCAAACTGTTGTAGGAGCAGCCCTGGGTGTTCCCATGAAGGGAGATGCGACTGGAGAAGGACTCACAGATTATACCGCTAGGGCATCTCAAAATCTTGGGGTTAGTGCCCCCTTGCCTGCTCAAACGAGAAACCACTTATGCACACTAACTAGGGGAACCTATATCATAGATTACTATAGGAAAGGCTCTTCCATGTAGGAGATTAACATTCCACGAACCTACAAGGGCCCTTATGGAGTTCAATTTTTTTTTTAAAGAACCCATGAAATTATCAAGGTACATCAGGTTTTTGATTTGAGTGCTACCAGTAGACCAGCCACCCCGGAGGTGAGGAAACTTAGCTCCCAGCCCAATCCAGTAGTTTGGACTGATTCCCCTGAAGCCTGAAACATCGGCAAGGAGGGGTTTTCTTCCCCTCTGAGATGCTGTAGTCCTACCTTCCCACCTACAAACAAAAAGTCTGATGCAATAACAGGGAACCCCCCCCCCAACACTCGCGGGGTCCTCCCCTCCAGAATGCACTCATGCCTTCCCAATCAGATTCCATTGCAAGAGAAAGTACTGGCCCCACTGTTCTCTGCGGTGCCCCCATTTCCCTGCACCTATGTCCAGCGTAAAGGGGACCCACTTAGGGAACTGGAGAGAGAGAGCGCTTTTCTTCTAGACAAATCAGGCACTTGGGGCTTTGCCAGCTCTTCTTCCAGGAAAGTGCTTCTCCCCTGAGAACCGAGGCTTCCCATCCAGAGCTTCTGAAGACTCTCATTCATGTTCTCTTCCAAAGAACCCCGAAGTCCCGTCTCCCCTATAATAAAGGATTTTTTTTCCCTTTCTGGGGAACCCGAGAGCGCTCATGCTAAGCTGCAGTCCTGCCTCTCCAGGGGAGCCCAGGAGTCCTGATCCTAAAGAGATCTTGCCGATCCTTTTTCTCCACCCCCTTTAGGAAGTGCTAGCTTCAGTCTCTAAGCCCTCCTTTCTCCGAAAAGCCAGAAGTTCTGCTTCCAGCCCACCCACCCACCTACCCCCAGTTACCCCTCCCTAACACAGCCGCCCCGGACTCCATCCATCCTCGGAGGAACCCAGGAGTCCGAGTGCAAAACCACCTAATAACGGGACCCGTCAGAAGCTCTGGATGCTCCAACCTGCTTATCAAAAATGGATCCAGGGATCCGGGAC